GAGTTCAATCCCCGGTTCCACCAAAAAAAAAAAAAAAAAAAAAAAAAAAAAAAATCTCTAAATCAGTATGTGAGTAGTTACACTTTCTTTACTATATAGTGACAAAATAGGACCAAGTATCTTAATTGCAGTACTTGGGAGGGATATTTAGCACTGGGTTTAGGTCCATCCTAAAATGTATTTACTGGTGTCCTAAGCTTTCATGATAGTTAAAAAAACTCCAGTAATCAAACAGAGGATATGAAACTATTTTGCCAGACTGCATTGACCCCAGGGTTTCAGAGAGACAAATCAAAAGAGATATCAAGTAGATACTTAAGAACAGGTCTCTGGGGAATTTGCCTTTCGCTTTCATTTCATATACATCTTCACTATCAGTATTCACAGTTCCTATTCTATTTCAGAGCATTTTATGTTGAAATAGAATATTGCATGCATTAATGTATTAGTTTCAATAGTTCCATAAATAAAATTGCCTTTCAGACACACCGTGTGTACAAATTTCCATCTCATTTGAAGTGATAGGTGACACTGGAGCTACTTTTACGTCCTTGGCAATGTCTTAGAACTCAATCCCTTAACTTGAAGGGAGGACTATGCAAATACATGAGCCGCAAGGTGGTAAGGCATGCTCTTTCTGGAAAACTCAATAGCCATCCAGTCAAAAATACCTAACCACAGCAATCAAACGAAAGCATATCATTTGCTATGAGAGTGGGCAGGAGTTTGCTTTTGTTGTTCATTGGCCTGTAACATCTAGGGCTTAGGGAAGTAGTTTGTATTTAAATGACTGTAGAAGAAAAGTGAATAATGGGAAATGAAGAAGAGTATAGATAAATTACTTAAAGCACCCACAATTTTTATGTTTAAGGATATCTGAGCCAGGTATAGTAGTAGCGCCTGTCTCTTGACGTGATGTTCACCAGGCTGAAACACTGAGCTGCTGGAGCCCAGGAGCAGGTGGCCAGCCCAAACACCACAGTGAGTCACTGTTTGGAAAATTTCATAACAGTTCATATAAATTCACTCTTGCTAACTTTATATAATTCCAGCTGGATCCTCATACACCAAAAATCCATTGCTTCAATCTTGTTGCTATTTCATGTTTTGCTTTTCATTCTGAATTCAAAAAATACACTCCTAACAATGTCTTCCTTTATGATGTCACAAGAGTAGTATATGCCATTTTTTCTACCATAAAATCTGTGCATATCTTAAAGGTACTGATGGAATCTTAATTACTTTTCTATGTATAGCATCTTCCACTGAATACACTTTTAATAAAAACACATCATTGCTTATGTGCAGGTTATCTATTTTAAATACAACTATGTGTTACTAGATTTGGACTTTAATCATTTGACTCTTCTAGGAATAAAGATTTTTTTTTACTATAGTTTTTTTCTCATAAGTTTATGCTTAAAAAGGAAATGTTGATTTCATTCATAATCACATCTGTTACTTAAGGCACATTATTTCAGCCAACCTTATATCATACCTTTAGGCTTCTTAGACACAGATGAGACTTAACTGTTCCTTAAATACATTTACCAACTACACATTTCTGTGGTATTTCCCACTAGCCATTTTACATTTCTGTCACAGTTTTTAATTCTAAATTTGTCAGTTCCACCATAGGTTCTTATAACTCTTTAACACCAAAAATGGAGACCAGTAATTTGTTCATAAGCAGTCAAAAACAAGGGCAGAGTTCCATAATTCTGTTGTTCAAGAAAGATGAGTTAAAACAGTAAATATACAAGCAAAACTTGTGATCAAAAGGAAGCTGACCATCTGGAACATGGAATCACATTGATCAGAGGATTTCAGGCAGCTCCCTTTGGTCTGTGCAGTGCACAGTACTGTGCCAAGGACAGAGCGGCCCGTCACTTACCCTCGTACAGCATGGATAAGTCTCAGTGATGGGTAGGCAGTTCGCACTTTCAGTTTATTCTTAAGGATTAGCGCATTAACCCATTCCACGTGCTTCTCTCCTCCTTTGACCATGAAAGCAGGGATCCAAAGGACACTGTCATTCAGCATGGACAGTCTATGCACAAATTTTGCTCTGTCACTCTCATTCCGAAAGCCTCCAAATGCTCTTTGCACAACTGATGGATTCATGGTTATAAAATCTGATTTAGTTCCCACATCTGCAGCAAATTCCACCACAGGAGCTAGATTACACCTGAAGAGGAAAAAACATGAATGGACAGATGAAAAATAAATATGAAACATTCACTCATACATGGTGTGTATGGAAAGGAAGAATGAGGGACAAGTATGTTTTTCACCAAGACAAAAAACAAACAAACAAAAAAGATAAGGGCAGTCTGCCCGGTAACCTACAGTTTCACTAAGTTACTACGCATTAAGGAATACTGTTTTCCAATAAGATACACACTCCCAGGACAGTGTTCATTTTGCCACTTACATCATCCTATGTAAGAATTTTCTTAACATTTATCTTCATAAGACCACATGATGTGAATTCATATTAAGTGAAGTTATGATGGCGAATTCACGAGGGGCCCGTTGCAATGAGAAAGGCAATCTAACCAAAGGCCGCTCTATAACTAAAACACATAGGACTTGATTTCTAACCTGTGTTGCTACTTACACTCGAGACTTTCCAACAACCTCATGTACATGCCTAAATAAATCTGGCTTTTCTACATTCAGGGGACAGTGCAATATCTTACAGCATTTTCCACAAATATATTTATAATGGCTTCTGTGAGACTAAATGATGAAATAAGTGAAATGAAGGTATTCTCGTTAATATGACTTTTTGAGATTTGTAACTAATGCGAAAAAGACTTTACTATCAGATCAAATTTAAAACTTCTTGGTCTTTCTGGCATTCTCAAGGTACCTATGGGCATTGCAAAACCATGTACGACTTTAAGGAACTCATGCATAAAGAGAAATTGGATTTGTGATTTGTAATCTCACCACTGGAACCACAAGGTTCGAAAAGGGCTTTGACTTGATTTTGCTCTCATAACCCAATTCTAATCTTGTCTTATAAGATAATATTGGAAAGTACCTTGAATTCATTTTTAATTAATTAATGATGCTTTGATTTCATAACACTGACCTTAGAATCCTTAGCTTAAAAAAGACACTATGTTTAGCTTGTAAAAATGGCAGATTTTAATCAGGTAATGTATGAAAATTAGATTTTAGCAAATACAATTGCTATCTTGGAAGAAGTCATTTGAATATATTCACTATATACCTTCATGAGAACATATACACACACATATCCCACATGCATATACACATGCAAAAGTGGAGCTTCTATTTATTTTTTTTCTTTTATTAGCTTATCAAGGGAAACAGAGTTCAGCAGGTTTATTATTTCAACACGTTATTAAGTTTGATTTCATTATTAAAGATCTTCACATTCCTTTTGTCTATACATGTTGCCATCTTAAGTAATTCCCAAACAGCTTAAATTTTAATTTAAAAATGTGTCCTACTATTAAGAATACTGCCTTGTTTATCCTTCTTTATCTCTTTTAATTAGTACTTCTTATTGCTTCCTAGATCTCTTGAAACATTTAGCTATAGCAACTAATCTCTTTCATCTCATACTGTTAAACAATTTCTGTTACCTAGGGTGAGCTACTGCAAGAAAAAGAAAAAAAAATCACATGTTCTTGATTCAAGATTTCTCTCTTTTTATATGCATGCATTCACTATCATATAACAGATTATTTGCTTCTACCCTAGATTTAAAACAATAATGAATATTTTTAATTCCCCTCCTGATGATATCAGAAATAGGGCTTCTCTGAAAAACCATTTTCCACAAGCACTCCGCTAAAGTGAACAATCTCTTGGGAGATTCATGCTAAGTGGAGAATGTAACAATTATTAAAGTGGTGAAATGTATATATATATATATATATATCATACAAATATTAAAGCTATTCAAAATCCTAATGAAGCTGATGATACCATGACTTTCAGTACTGTGGAGAAAGGTGTTTCCGGAATGTTATTATTATAGACATATTTCTTCCTTCATGCAAAATGGAAAAGATACTCTTTAACAGAACAATTGGCATATTCCTGCCAGGGCAGATGGCATCCTATGTATCTTTCTGATACAACAAATCCTCAGAAACTGCTTTCAGAGGATTCTTGCTGTTAAAAAGAAATCCTTGTCTTTATAACAGAAAAAAAAAATCAGAAACAAAGCAGCCGAAGAAAGTAAAAATGTATCTTCCACTAAATTATCTTTCTTTTCAGGAAAGAAACTTTACTTATTTTGTACTTTTAGCTACATTTCCTTGTCATTTATTTAGAAGTCTACCTCCATTGTATATTGGACACACGATGATGTACAATTATCTGGGCAAGCATTTTCTAGGAGGAAGTAAAATGTTCGTCAGCTGAAACTGGGTGCTGAAGTTGGGAGCTTTCCACTGGGAATCAAAGAGAAGCTTCTCATATATTTCTGGAGAACAAGGTTGATCCAGGAGGCAAACTAACCATGCAATTAAATAACTCAAAAACTATGAGAGATATTGGACATCAAAGAGTAATCAATTCACATGTAAAGTTTAGTGAATTCAAGCATAGCTCAATCAGACCGCTTGGGGCAAAGGAAGGTAAAGCACTGAAAATCACAAGATGGAAAGACACATCATGAAACATAACCTGCGCGATGTCTAGGATTCCAGTTTGTCATTTTCATGGGAGGTGACGGGTGTATATTTTACTGGAAAGAAAGACTAAAAACACGTTCGCAAGTGGTCAGCGAGTTACTCTGTGGCTAAGCCTCATATTTAGTCCTGTAATTAACTGAACGTCACTTAAGCAAGCCAGAATAACCAAGCGGCTGTGTTGCACTCCCCAAGTTCAGTAAATTTATGAGCTTGAGAGCAAAGCTGGCAGCAAGAGCGTTGACTGAGCAAGAATATAAATGCCTTCTCAAGCACACAATTTGCATCTTTCTTTCAAAAAAATCTTCCCAGAGGTTATAACATTCAAAAGTAACAAGAGTGTGTCTCAAGCACTTATGCAGAGATACTTGATTACACATATTATTCCTAACCTCACAAAATAGAAGACTGGGCAAGGTGTAAGCGACAGATCCTTTGAAAGCCAAAAATGCTGAATCCACAATACTCAAGTTCTATTGCTTTGACTCAAATTAATTTTCATAGTGCTAAACTATTTTTTGACAAATCAAAACCAGGAAAACATACACACAAAATCAGATGTGGTACCAAAATTTCCCGATTACCGCACACAGCTCAGTGATCAGGTCATGAGGACTCTCCATTGTTGACCTGTTGCCTGCAAGCATGGACCCTGGACCCGTGAATTTTCTTCTGTGATCTCACACTGCATTTCATGAATTTTCTTTTTTCTTTTTTCTTTTTTTTTCTTTTTGGTGGAACCAGAGATTGAACTCAGGACCTTGCGCTTGCCAGGGAAGCGCTATTTCCACTGAGTCATCTCCCTGGCCCCATGAATTTTCAGTATGCTTTATAGGCCTAATGAAAAGTATTTTTATTTATTTCAGGGCTGCATAAGACACTAATTTTAAAACTCACAGCAAAGTTATGCTTATTATGCGCATGAATGCTGTAGGAGCAGAGAATTCCACACCCAGGATATGTACCAGATTTGTCAACATTTTCTGTATTTCTCTTCTACATGCCCAATCTAAGTTAATAGGCGTTTTCTCCCTTGTTTACTCAACAGGCCTCTGTTGACAGTTCAGAAAGCAAACACGATCTTTAGGGCTAAGGGTGCTTTTACTAGCTATTGAATTATCCATGTTATCTTATACTATAGGATCTATCTCATCTACAGTATTGCCAGGCTTTACTAATTATATCAAGAAGATATGGCCTATTCCTTTACCATCTATTGCTTGATTCCATGGTGTACTTTATACTTTTGTTCTGGGTAGAGAATTAGCCTTCTAAAATACAGAGGTAAAACAGTGTCTGGTAACTGGAGGTTGTTACATCTTTATAGATTTAACAAGGATTAAATGAAAAAAAAAATGACCTTGGGTAGGACACAGACCACGCCTTCCACTTTGGTTAATATTCAGACAATTTTCAGACACGTAATCACCATGTGTTCTATTCCTTTGGCCAATTCCATTGTACCTTCTCTGCACTAACACTGGAATCACTCATACCCTTCGTCACAAGAGGGACATTTACCAATCAAGGGGGATGTAAGAGAAGTCTCTTCTATCTTCTGCTCCCTGATGAAGTTTATTGATTCTGTCTCCTTCATTTTTGTTTCTCAACTTGAAGAAACAAGGTACAGAAAAAACATCTTAGCTGTCTTTTTTTTTCTTTTGATTACACTCTCAGAATTGCTAGAAGGAACCGGAATATGCAAACTATTACCTTTTCACTTTTCTGATAAGAAGATAACAAACATCAGGCGCATCAGAGACCAATTATTTTTACTTAAGGTCAAGAATAGCTTGACCTTCACTTTTAGCTGAAGAGCTGAAGGCACAGTGATTAGGAGACACATTCCAAAGCATACAATTTATAAAAGAAAAGCATAGTCTAGTTTAGAATGACTTCAGGATGGGAGCTTTAATTGGAGCTGTTTATACATATGTTTTCTTTCAGAATCAGGGGAAACGTCTCTATGTTCATCTCACACACCAACTTGCATGTAGAGGAAAGGATGCTTTATCATTTGCCCATAAAATTTAACCTCAGATGCATTTAACAAGGCCAAGATCACACTGCCATATATTTCACAAAGTTCTAAGCAGGTAGTAAATAAAGGGTGTTAAATACCTGCAACGTTAGCACAACATCTATACCTCAGAACACAGCATCTGTACCTAAGATCTACTGAAGGACACATTTCCAAAATATTATGGAAAATATTAAGTAGGTACTTGATAAGATTTTTCATGTTTGAAGCATAGGGGTAGAAACAGATTCCATTGTGGTAGGCCATTATGTAATAGACAAAGTATAAAAAATAAAGATGAAAAATCATGTAGAAGATTTGCATTTTTAGTGCACATAAAATACAGTGTACACACAAAATACAACACACAAGCTTCATGTTATGATTGCTGTTAAGATAACTGGATATAATCCTTAACTTGATATAAATAAATACAAACAATTCACAATTGTGTGAATAATAGAAGAGAATTTTTTCCACAAACTGAGGTTT